GGCATCGAGTGTCACACTCACAAAGTCACGCAAACACACACAAGGGCCTCAACATGCCCTCTCGCCCGCCCCGTGCTCGTCTCGTGTGTGTTCCGGGCGAGGATCCTCCTGCTGACTAGGCGAGACCAGGTCACTGAGCGCCGTGGCTGCTGGCGGTGCCGTAATGAGCTTTGGGCGGCCCCGCCACAGCCCTGGATGGTTCGACTGTCCCGCCGTGACCGTGGCCACTGCAGGGCTTCCCTGACACAACACCCCCGCCAAAGCAGACGACAGAGGCTTCAGCGTCAGCTAAATAGAGAAGGCATTCAGCCTGTTGCTCTTCCTCGAAATATATCAAGTTGCCTAAGCATTAGCCAAATCAAAGTCTTCATATCTGTGCACATATGAATATACCAACACGACCTCAAAGAAGAGTATCTAACGCAAGTAAACTAAAAACTGGCAACTTGTAAACAAAATCGGATCAGTACAAAGGCCAGCCATTTACACCTTGGCCCGGCAATCCCATCCTCAGACTTACATAACCCCTGGCATATGCGCATACATTTCACTCCCTCCTTGCTGTCATCGCAAGCCCCCGTAAACATTCCAATCAGTCGTCGCCTCGTTCCGGTTACATGTGCTAAACGTGCGCATTTTCCGCCTCTTTCGCGCACCAACTTTGAATCCCCAAGGCCAAGAGACAGTAATTAACGTTGCTAAAGAACTGCTATTTTGTAACTCGTTCACGAAGGTCCATAAAAATCACGTTGCTTTTTTTGTAGCTAACTCAACAATTTAAAAAATCACGGTTTTAAAGGATTATTCAAACAAAAGTTTCCCCTACACGTCTTTCACTACAAACTCCCCCCTTTCTTCTCTCAGCTGGCACCCCATGGATCACCCGCTGCTCAATGTGTACTTAAAAAACATTCAAAGTCATGTCTTTAAACTGAGAAACACCTGGACTTCATCATCCCTGCTCTTCCCTCCCCGTCCCTACCCCTCCCTCCCCTACTCCCCGTCTCTTTAGGCTTATTCAACAACAAGTTTGAATGCTTCTTACGACGAAATAGCCGTAGCTCAGTCAGCAAATATTCACGTTCCTTCGCCTTTTCACGATCTTCGTACTTCCACTTGGTTTCTTAAATGGTACTTAATCTTATATCATAATAACACAAAACCAAATAAAACAATCGATGCTTTTGCCTTAACATCAACCAGCGGCGAAGATATCCCTTGCCACCAGACAATAATTATCCACCTAAATATAATAACTGAAAGGGATTCTGATGGAAAACCGTGTTACCAAAACACCCGGACACTCGCAGCAAAGCCATATAATGGAAGACATTCTAAGAGGATACACCAGCAAACCTCAAGGACGAATCATCGACAATACCAGAGAATACCACTAGTCGTGAAGAAGTGTGACTTAAAAAAATATATAAAAAAGGGGAAAAAACAGAAAGAAATAATACAAACTTAAGAGAAAAAAAAGAAACAAAGACAAAAGAAAAAGAGAGAAGTAAAACCAGCGGCGTAAAACACTCGAAAATCCAGCACTTACTTTGCACTTCCTGCAGCTCGGGTTCCAGCGTCCCCTCCATCTGCAGATGTCGCACGATCTCGGCCAGGCACTTGATGTTGGTCTGCGTTGTGGCCACGAGTTCGGCCTGGCGGGTGACAGGCGAAGAGACACTATGTTATCAGTCCATTCTTACTGATAGCAGTATATGTATACGATACACTTGTATAATAACCTCTCTGTATCCTCTTACTTCACTGTTGTTGATTTTATATATTTTTTCAAAACAAAAATAAAATACACCTATGTTGAACCACGCATGTCATAGCAACTGTCTATTTTCACCTTTTCAACGACGAAAGTAATAGTTTAAATGCACAAAAACAACATAGGACGACGTTTTAAGACGCGTTAGTGCTTTCAATCTTGATTTTCGTATCATCCCTCATCTCGCAACCAGCACGCCATCAACACACCAACTGCCGCCCCAGAGCAGGGTGGGCGGGGTGGGCGGAGATGGAAAGCGGCTTCCGGACGCCAAGACAGAAAAACAAAAGCTGCGGACTGTTAATTACGTAACCGGATGTAACGAAATGTGTTACGTAATACCTATTTCCTTGCGTGTACAAATTCGCGAGCGAGCGTATGGGGTGTGCGTGCGTCCAGCCTGGCGTCGCTTGGCAGAGGCCCCAGTTTCCAGCTGGACCAGACATCTGCCTCGCTGCTGATGCTGGACTGCTGGCACTGCCTCCGCCGCAGTTGCCACATCGCTTGGGTTTCGCGATTTAAATGCGTTAAGCGGCTTCAAATTCCGGAAATCTGTTACGGTAGCTCGTGTGCAGAATGCGGATCTATGACTGGCTTTAAAAAAAAAACAAAAATAAATTGACGATCGGAGCGTGAAAAGATAAACTGCAGCCATCTGGCAACAATGACACATATGTCTGTCTCACCACATGCTCAAGGAGTTCAACTTTCTCCGTGCTATGTAGTCTTACGCTGCTTAAGGAATACATGAATACGATATCGCTGCCAAAAAGGTCAGGTGATAAGCTATATTAGCAATATCGCTAGTGAAAGTAATTGCGATGGGAGATCCTCCAACAGTTACTGCAAGGAAGTCTGGCATAGCTAGATAAAAATATATCCACCTGCCACAAGTGAATATGACTAAAATTTGAATAACTTCTAAAGTCTCGCATAAATTGAACTTCACATCTCCACCCTGATGACTCAAGAGTGTCAAGGTCAGCTCAGCCCACTGCTATATAGCGCAAAGAAAACGAGGAAGCTTTATCCCGCCGAGCTCTATCGCTGTTAAAGAAAACGGTGCAGGTGAAGCCTCTATTTCAGGGGTAGCTTAGATAAACTTCAACAACTACTCACGTAATCAAGTCCCAGAGCAGCCTCGTTGGAGTATTTCTTGAGGACGTTCTCTGTGACGGTCAGCTGAGATCTGGACTCGTCGATGACATGATGGAGGTCATCCAGGTCGGAGTCAGAATCCAGGTCACGAGCACCTTGCGGGATCAATGATCTCAACCGACGGTGGTGGGGGAGCGGCGACCCCTGTGTGGGATGCCCGAGAAGGAGGATGCCCCGTCGGAGTCGATGTACTTCCTGTAGTCGTCTCCGAACTCAAGCAAGCGCCTGGCAGCCTCCTGGTCGATGTCCTCCGAGTAAGGCTCACTGAAGTACTTGTATTCCTGCTGTAATATAGGGAGAGCTGTTAGTTATACCAACACAACTGTTGCGATGAAATACTTCTGCGTCTCTTTCTACTTCTTCTTTTCTACTAATACGAAAAAAAGTATTGATAATAATAATAATAAATAAAACATTAACAATAATAATAAAAATAAACAATGATAATTGTGATACCAACAAAAAATAATAATAGTAGTAGTAACAATAACAACAATAGTAATAACAATGATACCTATAATAATAATAATAATAATAAATAATAATAATAATAATAATAATAATGATAATAATAATAACAAAATAATAATAAAAAATAATAATAATAATAACAATAACTAAAATAATAACAACAAAATCAAAGTAATATAACTATAGAAAAAAAACATAACCTCCTTGGCGGAGGTACTAATAATAGCAATCACAATCATTATCACCACAATGGCTTACCTGGTAAGGATCCCAAGCCTGCTCCGAGAGGGAGCTCATGTCCTCGTGGGTGTTGAGGGCGTCCTGGTCGCTCTGGGTGGCGCTGCGGGCGGTGTGGGCGGGGCTCCTTGGCACGATGGCCTCCAGCAACGCCGGCGCCGGGCTGGATGGGCGGGACTCGTCGCTGGAGCAGCAGTCGTCGACGGCGAGGGCGCGAGTGTGCAGGCGAGGCACGCCCAACACGCCCCCGCAGTCTGAGACGCACTTCTCGGTGGACGACGTCATGCCGCCCGAGCCCCCACGGCACGCGCCTGAAAGTGGCCTTGGACGTCAGTAAGGTGTCCCTTCGCGGATCAAGATTAAAATATATCAAGCACTCTGAATAAACGATCTTTCTTTCTCGGAAATTCCCTTGGAGGCGTGGGCGGCTATCTTGAAATTTAACGAAAGTGACGCAAAAAAACATTTCTAAAGACACACCCCCTTCAAAAACAAGTCACGCCGACGACATGGTCAAATAACAAGGGGATCATCGTCAGCACCTTCCACACTGAACGCCGCCGCCGCACAGTCACCACAAGAACGTCTCCAACAATGTCAACAGCACACTAAAGTTGGCGGCGTCACCCCTTTACCCCCCTGAGCGCCCCGTTAATCCGAAATAACTCACCGGAGAAGGAGGAACTCTTGACGATATGCCTCCTGCAGTGTGAGGCGGTGTCCGAACCCGAGGAGTGTGACTTGGATAGGCGGCGGTTAGGAGACACTTGGTTGTTGTCAGAGCCTCCAGACAGGTTGAGAGCCAAGCCGTCTGATCCGGAATCGGTTCGTCGCCCCTGGAATAAATTAAAAGAAAACGGGTAACTTAGCGAGGCTCAACCGTTTTCTCTAGTCGTTTGAACACTGACTCATGTAAAATATCCACACATTTTCTATGCGCGAGGACAGTAATTTCATAAGGTCTACGTCACTTACCAAGGACAGGTTTGACTTCCTGCGAGCTCTGGTCTTTCTCCTCCTCAGCGATCCGGTGGCATTGGTTGCAGGAGACTGCCGGTCTGCCGTGGTTGATGTTGTGGAAGTGGTGATGGTGGCAGACGCGGAAATGTTTGGGTGTGTTGTTGATGTGATGGTTGTGTTTGTGGTGTTGGTTGCGGGGGTAGCCGGAGGCCCGGTGGTGGTTGGCGTGGAAACATCTGTAGGGGATGTGTTACTGCCAGCCGCGTCTGGGGTCTCTGCTCCACTGTGGGTGAAGGAAATAAGGATTTAATTCACAGTCAGGACAACATGCTCTTTTTGCACACACGCGACACATCACATCTGATTCACACCCATGCAGCCGAGCACGTAGATCCCGGTAGTTTATCCTCCCCACTCACCGCGTCAAAAAATAAATAACTGTAAACAGGGAAGAACTTCCACTTCCTCTACGTTTCAGGAAGTGCACCTACCCATTCCTCGGTTCGAAAACCACGATGCTCAAGAAGTTACTCAGGGCCAGCATCTCACCCGGCGGCAGAACACTTCCAAAAGAACAAGAGAAAATCTTTCACTGTCTCCCCTTCTCGCATGATTCCGCGCACCGCCCGTATGTCGCCAGCCACTCTCACAGGCAATCATCGTTTCACATCGTGAGAGCAGGCGAGTTCGACGACCCGCTGCCTCCGAAACGGATTCTTCCGAATTCTACGTCTTATTCGCGAATGGGAGCGAGCTGCTGTCACTCGACCTATCACTGCGGCCAACAGCGCAACAGACAAACAACACTACGAGAAGGAGTCCGTATCTCCAGCCGGCTTCCCTCCGGAATGCGGAATGCCACGCCGCGTCCTCGCCGACGGACGAGACAGAACACGTTCTCTCTTCCTCGATCCACTGGGACTCCTCCGCCCTGACCTTGCCGAGATAGAAGGATAACTAAAGCCTTGTTAAGCAGCGCGAGTGTCAGGGGGGCGTGAGTCACGTTAACACCAGCTATCAACAGAGGCGGTGCCATCGTGTCAACACCCGCCGCTCCACAGCCACAACACTACAACGGCTTACTCATTGCACTTATTAATTAATTTTGGCGATCAATCACGCGAGATATGGCGTGAGTTTTCCAGGCCGCGGCGCCGGTGCGAGAGTCGGCCGTTGCGATCGGAGCGGGGACACGAGGGAAACTAACTGTTCTCAAGCACGGCTGAAGACAGTCGCTGCTCATGAATCTCCATGAACTTTAGCGGTCTTTGCCCTACTTCTCTCCTTTATTTCACAATTCCTGTGCAATACTTTGCAAGAATCTCAACTTGAGCAAGCTGGTCTTCCGTGAACAGATCTAAATCTCGAAGTTTATATCCTGACAAAACTTCCTTCGCGACTCTGATGACAGCAGCCTGATCGTCAGAAAAGATAATAATCGCTGGATATCAAACCTGGAGTGGGGGATTTCCGCTTCGGATCTCTGTTCTTTCATGGTACAAACTAACCGCCTTCATTAAAGAGATTTTCTGTTATTTAAACAAAATGACTCTTCACCAGCTTATTCACCGCTTCCCCCCCCCCCCCACTTCCTTCCCACGTCACCCACTAGTGAGGTCTTCTATCCAAGAATAGCCCACTAAGGCAGGTAACTAGCCCCGTCCTGGAGGAAAGCGAACGATGAGTTAAAAAACCCCGGATGAGGGGGGGTGGGGGGGGGTGGGAAACGCCGGGGATGCATTCAGTCAAAATTTACAATAAGAAGAATCGCCAAACTATGTCAGCGCGCCTATTATTGTCGCCAGGACAATGCTTCTATTTCGTCACATTTGTCGCAGTTGTCCCTCCCGAACAAAGTTGTTGACAAACCGACAAACGCACCTTTGCATAAACAATGTTATCGTTATCGGTGTTGACAGGTAAGAGCACTTCCCGTTTTCTTTAACGCTCTGTTGACTTCCGAAGTGACGTCCTGTTCTCCCATCACACCACGCGTGCCTCTCCACCTACCTTATTGTAGGATTTCTTTTCTTTATATGCATATTCCACGGAGAGTCATGCTAAAACAATCCAGTCATATTTACCGGAGTTTATTATACTGCAAATGGACACTCTAATATTACTAGAACAGCGAATCAAAGTCTACCTATCAGTTGGCATCCAAGTGTTCGAACATATTATTTTACGCCTACTCCTCTGCACGTTAATAAATAAATAAAAAGCTAAACATAAATAAATCAGCAAAACGACATTGCAAAATCTCACGACCTCATTCTTGGCCCAGCCCCTCATCCGCACAACGCACCATCACCTGAGGCATTAACATTTAATCTCATAAATTAAAAGGCAAGCGTGGGAGGCCTGCTCACGGCGACGCGGTTTCGAAAACGGCGTTACCGAGAGAGGCACCTGCGGCCACGCTCGGGTACGCGATTGCTAAACAGATGCACAGCAGATGTACAACTCCGCAGGTGCCAACTGATTGAATGGAATTGAAACCTGATGGAGGCTGTCGCGCCTTACGATAGGAAGCCACGCAGGAGCAAGCATGGCCTTTCGCTTGTATTTGTTTGCCAGCGTCAGTCATCGTCGTTGATCGAGTACTGGATGCCCTTTAACTGATGTGATTTCATGGTCATGTTTTTATATTACATTTTTTTTATTTCCATATCAACTGATTTTACATAACCCACATTATTCTACGGGTCAGATTTAACACATGCCATTTTCAAACAACAGGCAGACGCACCATTTATCTTCCATTCCCCATTCCATTAATTCCATAGCATCGGGTGGTGATCCGTGACGTAACTTTCAATAACAGCTAATAGACTACAGCCGATAGAAAGCAGCCCTTCTCGCAGGGACGCTGCACGAGCATCACGTGTGGTTGATGGAGGCTGTGTGACTCGCAGGATGTCAAAAAGATGTCTCATATCATCCTCTCTGTCTGTCTGTCTGTCTCTGCCTCTCCCCCCTTCTCTCTCTCCCCCCACTCCCCCCTCCCTCCTCAGCCTCCCTCTCCTCTCTCTCTCTCTCTTCTCTCTCTCTCTCTCTCTCTCTCTCTCTCTCTCTCTCTCTCTCTCTCTCTCTCTCTCTCTCTCTCTCTCTCTCCCCCTGTAATTATCTCTTTCTTCATCCATTTTCATCACTATCTGTTGCTATATTTTTACTCCGTGTAAAATAAAATGAATATGAACCAGCTGTAATACATATATTTATGTACTACATCAGCTGGATACGCATATAAAATTCCACTCTCCTACCGTAGTACCCCCTCTCATTATTCATTTTATTCTACGCTCGGCAAACTCCACTGGCCGTAGAAAATCGGATTCGTTTCGAACTTCTACGAAATATCTTTGAACTTCACCCTTCTCCGTTCCTTCCACTCGAAACGTCCAATCACCACACACACACAATCGATACAAAATTACAAAAGAAAAGAGAACAATGAGAGAAGAGGGAGACTAATAACAAGCTCATACACATTAAGTCTAATATGTTACGCAAAGTCGGCGCGAGGTCGGCGAGTGAAAGTGTAACGCGCTCCCGACGCGCCCTCGGCACGCTCGACGGTGGTAGGCAGGCGAGGTTCAAAAGGTTCACCGGGCCCACAATCAGAGGATGAACCTACTGGTGTTATCGGGGGCTTGGGCAACCATTTCCTGGTGTCGGTTTGTCGAATCTTGGAAAATTATGCAAGAGCCTTTCTCTTTAAAGATATTACGGTAATACCCCGTCAGACTGACGTAATGTACCGGTATTATCGATACTGACTTACGTGGATATGAATATAACACACACACACACACACACACACACACACACACACACACAACACACACACACACACACACACACACACACACACACACACACACACACACACACACACACACTGACATCTCCAAAACAATGCACGGAGTACTTACAAGGCCTGGTTGTCGTTGGTGGGCGTTTCGGGCGTGGCAGTGAGCAGGTTGTGAAGGGCGGTCTCGGACACGGAGAACGGCGCCAGGTCCAGGCGGGTGGCCAGCTGGTACAGCTCGCTCACGCTGCACGGCCGCTGCTCGCCGGAACGACGCTTGCGAGAACGAAGAACCACCTGCGGCAAGTTGCACAGGTTAAGGCTTGCGAAAAAATCGTCGCCGCAAGAACAAACAACAGTCAAGACTTTCACAAGTGCAAGCTGCACAAAAAAAAAGCTCAGCCAGGCTTACCTTGGGGTGGGCAGCGTCGGCCGGGCTCGGCACGGCAGCGGCCTTCTCCGCGGTGGGCGTGTTGTCCGTGGACGGCAGCGGGTCCCGGGACCCCTTGAGGGAGCCCTTCTGCGAGCCCCGCACGGAGCCCCGCGTCGAGACGGCGTGCTGGGTGGCGGTGGACGCGTCCATGTCCTCGGACGTGCACGACTCGATGTCGCTCTCGCCCGTGGTCAGCTCGCCCGAGGCGTCGCAGGAGTCCATGACGCAGGTGGTGGAGAGGCGGGCCTCGCGGCGCGCCGACGCCTGCTTGCTGCCCATCGCGCCCTTGCAGGGACCCATGTTGAGCGGCAGCTGGTGCGGCCGGGGAGACACCAGGGGGGCTGGCTGGTCGCCCTCGGGCGGTTCGCGAACCAGCCGCTCGGCGTCACTCACCAGGCGGGTGATCGACTCTTTGCTGATGGTCCTCTGGGCCTCCTGGTGGAGGGGCTGGTTCTGGGCGGCGACCTGGTCCTCCTGCTGGGGGTGGGGGTGGCCTGGGGTGCCGCCGTCGCTCCCGGTGTCCATGTGCTCCTGCAGCGGCGCCTCGTCCTCCGTGGCGCTCGCCTCCGAGTCGCTGGGCATGTTGGAGTTGAGCCAGTCCGGGTCCAGGATGGCGGAGTCGATGATCTTCTGCAGCGCCTCGTGGTCCACCTCCTCGTCGCAGCTGAACTCCAGCCGGGTGCGCGCCGAGGTCCTGACGACGCTCCTGACGCCCCGTCTGCGCACCTGGTAGATGCGGTTCCTGGCAGGGTCGCACTCCACCAGGTTGAGGTTGGCCTGACAGGCGGCAGTGTCAGTGCTGGTTGCGGTGTTTGCGGCGGCCTCCTCGGTGTCGGTGTCCTGGTGCTTGAAGTCGTAGATGGCGCAGTTGGGCGACGGCCGCTCGATGTTGGTGCAGCTCGACTTCGAGGGCGAGTCCCTGACGCTGGCGCTGACGTCCGTGGCGGCGGGGTCCTCCGTGTAGGACGAGGTCAGGTTGACCCCCGAGTCCTCGGTGCTGGCGGGCGACACCACGGTGTTGCCGTTCACTTGGTTCAGGTTCTCCATCTCGCCGTCAGTCATGTCTGTGGTGGACGTGGTGGACGTGGCGGTGACGGTGATGGTCGGGGACTTGTCGGACTGGTGGATCATGGCGTCGTCGCCGGCGAGGTCGGAGGAGGGCACGAGCGGGCAGCAGCGGGCGCGGACGGTGTCCAGACCGGCGCTTCCCACCATGGCAGGCGCCTCGGGCTGGGGGGAGGCGACGGGGGCGGCCGCGGCCTCGGAGTCTTGCGGAGCGGCGGCAGGAGCGGCGTCGGGCTGCTGAAGGGGGTCGACTACCATTGGCTCCAGGGGGGCTGTGTAGAGGGTGGGCGGGGAGGCCACACCGCACTCACTACCCCCGCTTATGCACACATAGTCATCCTGGAGGACGGTAAGGAAAGCGTTAGACACGTAGACCAGCATGAAGAAAGTTTAAAGAGGGACCAGATATCACCATTCTTGTGGCCAAGCGAACATTCAGTATATGAACATGAAAAAAATCAGAGAGGCCCACCACAACTTCAGTGAAATAAAGTTGTGTCTCAACTAATATTTCTACCTAAGGCCTATGTTATCACACTGAACTGCTTTTAACAAGGTTGGTATACATATAATCACCTGCACTAATCATGGTTGCAAACCTATGTACATACTAAATTTATCAGATCTAACATATTGCAAATAACGAATATCAACCCATGCATGAAAAGAAAAGAGTTTTTTCTACATTAAGATCATAACTTAAGCACGACTCTCAAAAGACCCGTCAAATACATTATGAACGACAATGCAGTTATGCTGCAAGATCACCTAACTGAACAATAGGAGCGGGTCGGGTACACCAAAAAGAATACAGTGAAACATCAAAACATATTTACACAAAAGCTTAACATACACACTTATACACAATCACTTGCACACCAACACGCAAATACACAATGAGGTTTAGGCGACGGACGTAGAACAAGAATTACAGCAATAATCATGACCTGTTATCGCTGCAGCGGTCGAGGTAATAGGTTACTTACTCAACGTGTTACAGTATTTGTTACCATGCTATACACAGAGGGAAAAGCGCACATATGCACGTTCACAGAATCACGCTGACAAACCGTACTTCGTATACATTAATTTGCATTCGCCCTTCATATCAAAACCTTACACATACGTTAAAAGGTACATCAACAATATTAATAATGTAAGGTGGCATCTCAGTCCTCCGGAACTCGGGTTTCCAAGATGGTTGGATCTCGCCACTCATTCCTTTCGGCCGCGTCCGGACTCTGCTCGCTCGCCCCTGCTCTTCTTTTGGGGGTCTCGTCTTTTTGTTTGGCATTTTATTTCGTTCTATTGTTTTTACCCTTTTAGTTGAGTTTCCCCTTTTTATAGTTGTTTTCTTTTTCTTTCGATTTTACCTAGTCATCTTATTTGCCTTGCCTTATGATTTGAAAGTCTATGTACTTTATTTCCTTTTTAACTTAATTTTTTTTTAGGTATTGTATTTAACTTTTATTATTTTTCGAGCATTTTACGCTACTCATATACTTTTATATTTACTTTTGTTCAGTATTTTTTATTTTATTTCAACTTAAGACTAATTTTTATCTTTTCTTCTTTCTTTACAACATATGTTTTTAAACTGAAAGCTGAACACGAATGTAAAATAAATACGAAAAATGTATGGTTCGTGACGTAGTTCGTGACGTCACGAACGCTATAAGTATCGCCAAAAAACGGCGCGAAATATACTCAGTCTGGACCAGATACCCTGTGTGTTACTACCCCCTGTGCGAGGCGGCCCCGCCCCCGAAACAAAGAAGTTAAGTTCTGTGTTCTGACGTGTGTCTTTTTTTCTGAGGAGCTGGACGTGATCCTTTTCTTTTATTTAAGTGATCATGAGATACACTAATCTTAATTATAAGCGTCATCTTAATCAATAATTTAAGCAATCAATCAAGTGATTATCAACTTTATCTTTTGTTTTCAAGTTTTAAGTTTAACTAAAGCTTTGTTTTCCCATGATTTACGGTGCATTCATTCACTGCATTGTCTTTATGATTAAAGGAACTAGTTCATACGAACAAACCCCATAGGCTGAACGTGAAGGAGTGATGGTTATGCTCGGTCTTTTTTGTGCCTAGATGCTTCACGCTACCACTACACAGCATCTAGCCACGGTGAACCCACACACATACACACAGACACATACTAATGCCCACAGAGCAAAGAATACCTCACAGTTAATTTGGCGGCATTCGGTGGGACTAATTAGTGCGTGATTACGTACTCTAGCATCACTCCTTGACGCTGAGACGTCCAGTATAGCTATTTTCTATAGGTTATATCATGCATGGTGAATAGTAGCTAAGTGAGCCTATTGATTTTATTTAACTGTTCCTTTTTGTGTGTTCTGTTACTGTGTTTCGTCATACTGTATCTTTTTACTGCTTTTACTTTAATTCCTGTGCTTTGTTGCTTTTACGCTTCTCTGGTCTTACCTGGTTTTGTCCTTGGTGGATTTCTTTTACTGCTCCTTTTACTATTTTTTTGTGCGTTTTACTGCATAAGCACTTCTCTTTTTACTCTATTTTTATTTTCGGTCGTCTTGCTGTGTTCTCTGACCGTCCTTTATTGCTTTTATTTTCCGCGCTCTTAGCTAGTTGTGCGTTCTTTTATTGCGTTTTTTTTACTCATTTTACTTTCATTTATTTTAGTGGTCTATTAACTGTTTGTTTTTATCATTCTTCTACCTGCTTGAACGTCCATTTTGCCGTACTTTTTTATGGTATGAATTCAGTCTAGTTTATTTGTTCTGCTGTCTTTTTGGCTTCGTGCCTTTACTTCATTGAATGTTCGTCTTCACACGTTACGTAGGTGCTTTTGTTCGTTTTCTCTTGTTCTCTTTAGTTTTCACGTACTGATGTGCTTTTGAGTATGCATTTCAGTTAGTAGCCTTTTTGATGGTCTTTTCTCAGCTTTTTCTTTAGTTCTTTTTATGGTGATTATCCCTTTTCAATGTGTTCGTTCTCTTTATCTACTTCAGCTTTCTTTTACTGCGGTTACTTATTTTACTCCATCGCGTTTACTGTTTCGCCTATCCATTATTTTACTGTGTAGTCGTGCTTTTATTTTTCGTTTTGCAGGGTAGATTTGCTTTTGTAGTTTGTCAAAAGCCTGGCACCCATTTTTTTCAGTTCTTAATTATTTTTTTCAGCTTGTTTTATGTTCTTAATTAATCGCCGGCTTGCCCAGTTAGATTTTATGGCTCACGTAGCTTAGGGACTCTTTGATTTACTCTTCCTGTGTGTTAACCCACTCTACCCTGACAGCATTACTCCGATGTCCGACGCTCGCTTCTTACTCGGTGTTTGTGTCTGTCGTTTGTGGTCTTGCTGAGCGGTCGTGATTTTTGTTGGGGTTTCATTTCATCTGATTGTTTAGTGTGATTCCTGGCATGAATCGAGACCAAGAGAGACAGAAACGGAACGAGAGGTTTCAGCGCCGACGGAACCTGCAGTCCAGCAGCCAACCTACCTCACGTGACCCATCTCCCAGTCAAGCATCATCCGAGCTCCACCAACTCCCCGTAGTCACAGGGGGCTCTAACCCAGACGTACGTGAAGCAGTAAGGGTCATGGAAGCTGAGGTGGATATGTTCAGCCAGATCATGGGCGGGTCAACGCCTTAATTGCAGAAGTTCAAGGATGCAAGGAACAAAATGACCGACTTGAAAACCGACTCCAGCGACAAGAGGAGATGCTCAGGGAACAGAGGCAGCCTGAGGATCGTGCGGAGCGCGATGACCAACAGCAAGCATTAGTGGTACAGAGGGAAGAAGAGATCCAGCAGTTACGCCGCCAACTCCACCAAAGGACTGAACTGGAGGAAGCTCGTCACTCCCAAAGTGTTCGTGATGCAGCACCTACAGACGCCGCTCCACTTCAGGTAACTGAGAGGGATGAGATTCGTCAGCTCCGAAGGAGATTACAAGAACTTGAGGGGGAACTGGCAAGCTCTCGTCTCTCCCATGTCTCCCCTCGTACTTCACAGGTTGGGGACACCATTCGCCCACCTCCTGTGCCTCCTCAGCCTCGTCCTCGCAGCCGACCTCAAACTCCGGAACCTGTGGACCGTCCTTTACCTCCTCAGTCGCAGTCACAACAGACCACCCTGCCATATCCACCGTATCGGTCACTGCCGGAAAGGATTCCTACCCATCACAGCCGA